CCACCACCACCACCACCACCACCACCACCACCACCACGATAGATCCAAATCCTTTAACAAAAACCCTGCATCACAGACCAACTACTCTCTAGCGCGTCCTCCCCACACTTCAGGCTCCAAGACAAGCTGCCTTCCCATCTTTGGCAGTGTGCTGTTCCTTCTCTTCTGACAGTCTCTTCAGCCCCTTCTAGGGAAAAATGCTGTGTTCCACCCTTAGAATCACAGCTCAGACTCACTCTGCCCTGAGTAGCTTTCTCTTTGCTGCGCCCCCTTTGCCTGGAGCACAGTGTACTCCCCCAACAACACTAAGGTGAGCTCCTAACTTTTTCTTTTTATTTGTAGCCCAGGCTGGCCTCCAACTCAAGGTGATCCTCTATCACCCAGCCTCCCAACTGTTGGGGATTACAGGGATACACCACCACACCTGGCATTCCCAACTTTTTTTTTTTCATTTATATATTTGGTACAGCGTCACACTATGCAGCTCAGGCTTGTAGTGATCCTCCTATTTTCAGCCTCCCCAGTGCTGGGATTACAGGTGTGCACCACCACACCCGGACTATGTTGCAGGCTTAGCGTGTCCCAGAGGTGGGGCTGGCAGGGCAGGTGGGGCTGGCAAGGCATGCAGAACCAGGGAGGACCAAGAATTGAACCCTGGTCCCTGCACTTGCCAATGCGGACGTTTAGTCAGCCGAGCTACCTCGCCTGCCCCCAAGTTTTTTTAAACCACAAAATTAGTGTGGGATTTTCACTTGGGAATATCACACAGGCCTTGAGGTGGCGTAACCAGTTTTTCCTCTGTCTCTTATCCCAGGGCCAGGCAACCACGCACAAGTAAGATCCTAGCTTTAATTAGAGCCTTTGTTTACAAGGCTTTCATAGCACTTCCATTGAAGATACTTGGAGGCTAAGTGAGGACTCCACAATGTCCCACCAAGTAGGTTAGGGGTTCTCCAGGGCAAAACTTCCTATGTTAATGATAACAGAGTGGTTATTAGACCATACAGCTTTACCTGCACATTAAATCACATAACCACCCTGAGAATTAAATATCACTGTTATCCCTATGGTTTAGATGGGGAAACTGAGGCTAAGGAACACCAAATAACCTGCCTAAGATTCCACAACTAGCCCACATTAAAGTCAGTAAACATAGCTCTAGAATCTTGGCTTATGGGAAACAATCAATGAATCAACACTAAACAAATGCATGAGGTTAATTGTATTAAAACTTGGGATAATTTGGGATTATATTAGAAGATGAGAATTTGGTTAATCTACGATGCATTCATATTTGTTCTCCCTTGCATTTGGGAAAAACATGAACACACTCAAAACATAAGCACTGTTAGTGTGCTTACAAAGCACCCCTCCACAAGACTTTTGTGCTAAGGGCCAGAGATTAGCTCAGTGGCATAAGTGCCTGCCTGGTAAATGCAAGGTTCTAAGTTCGATCCCTAGTACCGGAAAAGGACTTCTGTGCTGATCTTTTTCCCTCTCCTGGAGAGGATGGCCTGCAGGCTCAGCTGTAACATCACTGGGCCTACTCGGAGTTTTGGTGGCCTAGGACATATCCTATGCAATAAGCAGTAAAGCAGTGTCAGAGAAGCCTCTGCCTCCTCCGCAGCTCACCTCGCGCAGCTCTAGCCTTTGGGCCACAGCCTCCAGGCTCTCCTGACCGGTGCTCTCCACGGACAGCGTGAACTCCACGAACTCATTGTTGAGCAGCTGGATTCGCGCAACCAGGCAGCTCTTGCTGGACACGGTGTAGCGGCGGGTGCGTTTCAATTTCAATCCAAAAGGCAGTGGCATCTTCTCCCTTCCAAAGCGGCAGGCCAAACAAGGAAAAGCAGCGCCACCAAGCCAGAGAGGATGGCCTCGGTGACTCCCTGGTCCTGAAGGGATGATTGCTTTTCAGTCTCTGACTGTTCACCCAGCAGCCGCTGACGCCATCAAAAAGCAAGTAAGTCTTGAAAGGCCAAGAGAAGGGGGCGTCCACGCCAACGCTGAGAAAAGAGGAACACGGGTTATAAAAAACATGGTCACTTGGATTTGCTTTGAAAAATAAAAGTCAGTGATGCTGCATCAGTGAAATAAGCTTTGCCTCTGCACTAGGAAAAGAAGACACTAACAACATCAGGAGGCTTGGGGACAGGCTTGGGGACGTTTATCCTCACCACCGCTGAGGGCTGGGCCCTAGGTCAGACTCCGCCCCTCTATCACTACTGCAAACCCTGATGACAATCTGGGCTATTGTGAAGGACTAAATCCAGTTCCACCAAAATTCCAAATTTTGTAGTCAGCATCAATGGCTATTCATTTGGAGGAACTCTCTTTGAGCTCCTCAAAACTCCACATCTCACTCTTTTAAGTGTCCCAAGACTCTAAATGTCAGAACTGGTTATACCATAAGGGAGATAAGAGCGAAACACTTCCAAAAAAATCAGGGCTGGAGAGAGAGCCTCCTTGGGCTAATCCACTCTGGATTTTGAATGAAGAATAAGCAATCCCTGTCATACATGGCAGCTGTGATCGTCAAAGAAGGTGAATTCCTTAACAAGCAAGTATAAAAACGTTTTCTGGTTTGCAAATATTAACATCACCAGAGAGATCCACAGATGATTGATGGAATGATGCTACACATGCCAATTATCAAGCAAGCACGTGTTTCTGGTGAGAAACACGCCTGGGTAGAGGTGCCTAGGTTGGCACGTTCACCTCAGGACGAGGGAGAGGCCTTAAGAGCCATCCTGGATTGGTAAAGGGGCGCAGGCAGCCAGGTGGGTGACGCAAGGCGCAGTACTGCGTCGCACCCGGGAGAGCCGCTCCTGGCGCGTTGCCGGGCCAACGGGCACCCTCCGAGGTAGCGGAACTCTCGTTCCCCCGCCGCGTTTCCCGACGGAAGAGCTCGGGTTGGACCAGCCTCCCTCCTCCCGGGGTAACCCCGGCAGGGGCCAGCTCCAGCCTACAGGCTGCGAAAAAGGTGGCCGCCTGCTGTTTGGTGTTGGATGTGAAGTCACAGCGCCCCCAAAATATGCCATTTACAACGTTTGTAAACCACGCCCGTTGATGGTAACTTCTGGGCAGAGACACACTGGGGACAGGCGGCGGTTTCCTCCACCACATGCTTGCCGCGACTGAACCGGGACTCGATATCGCATTCCTGCTGCGCTCCGGACTGCTGCTCGGG